ATTTAATTAAATAATGCACCAAAGAACATAGACAAATAACATGCAAAAAAGTAGACACTTTCCTCTAAGTCTCAAAGTTTTTTTTGACTTTGTAACTATGTGACAAGAGCCGTTACAAATTCATCCAAGCTAGTCGTTAAATTTCCCATGGGAACTAATCTTGTACTCTGAGTGAAACTGACGATATTCTGTTCAGAATACAACGTTATAAAATATATCATTTGATAGATGAAAACCTTGACTTTCTGTTGGTTATAGGTAATATATAATTATACGTAACAGAGAACTATTAACAAATCCTGACAGAGAGGATGTGACAGGTGGTTGTGGCAGGAGGGGTCTGATTTTCTACTTGATAGCTCTGTAACCAAACAAAATTGAAGTCTATAAAATTATGGTTTGTCTGAGGTATGACAATTTTATAGGGAGTAATTTACATTTACTTTCATACTTTTTGAAGGGAGTGGTGGATAAAATAGAGAAAAGAATATACATGTATGTTACACTAAGGGAAATCCAAGATTTTTTTAAATATTGCCTTATAGAATTAAAAAATTAACTTATATACTATTAAAATATGGATTATTAGCTAAGATTTTATACTATACTAATTGGTATAACATAAACAAAAGTAGTTTAATAAAATTTTGAATGTGAGACACTAAAACTTTGTGTCATGCACAGTAAGGGATACCCGTGTGGTTAAAGTTAATATCTTGTAATATATATTATCCATGTTCTTGATAGCCTTTTATTATTTTCTATGCGGTTTGTCAGTTCATTTCTTGACTTCAAAATGTAGATAATTTCAGAATTGTCCATCATCTTAAATTACCACATTTTCATTCAACTTAACTTTAAAAGCTTTCCTAAAAACACAGTGTATTTAGATTAGTCTTCATTTCTTCATTGTTGCTCAATTCTTTTAACTTTGTTTTAATACTATTTAGCAAGAAAATGTTAATACTGTTTAGTATGCCTTGAAAGTTCTCCTCATAATGTTGGGCCTTATTGGTTGTTTAAATGCAGTGTCTATTTTTCTTCACTTTTTACCAGAAAATTGTGTAAAATTTGAATATCTCATCAACTGTTATTTTCTCTAATGGCCAAGAGAACTTCAAGTTACATCTTAAGTTTTCTCTTACCAGAAACAAATGCCATGCTGTTCCAGATGTTCTTTCTAAAGCAGTTTATTTTTTACTTGTTGTTCACTAATGCTGCAATTGCTGATAACTGGGAATTTTTTCTCTTGAATATTTCCTTCCAGTTTCGTGTATGTCGGCTTGGATGAAAATTGTTTGACCATAAATTTACTATATAAATTGTGAAAGCCTTCAGCAGTGTAACACTTCACAGAACATTATTCAGCTAGTCTATTTCACAAAGATGTCTGTTACAACTAAATCAGATATTAACTATTTTTTTACCATAGCTTAGGATTATTTTAAATCATCTAACCCTACCATAAGAAGGAATTTTCTGTTTTGATGTTAGTTGAAAACTGGAGTTTGATTATTGTGAACTTTCATCTAGGTTAGTTATATGGGACACTACCTGATAGAGTAAAGATTGATTTTTATGAGGGAAAATAAAAATAAAATTAAGAGGAATGTCCATTGTTCCACAAATATGCTGTGCACTTTGGAGCTGTGGGTGCTCTATAATATTGATGGTCAAATCCCATTATTCAGTAAAATAAGAGTAGCACAAATGTTGGCAGTGGGTGCTGGTGACTATTTACATTCCCCCCCAGTCTATCATTTCAAAATTAAGGAAAGTTATGTAAAAATAAACTTTTGTGTGGCTTTGAATGAAAATTTTGAAATGAACAAATTGTTAGAGCATGAACACACACGTCTATGCACATGCAATTGAATAATATCTTTTAAAAGACCTAGGCTTTTTCATTTAGATTTTAAGTATATGCAGTTCAGTCCAGTTATCAGTGTAGCATAATAAAAATTAACATTATTTTAATGTATATTTATCTTTTTTAAAATTTTTTAGTATTATATGTTTCCATACAGGTGCTTCAACATGTTCGCTTACCTCTTCTTAGTCCAAAGTTTTTAGTTGGAACAGTTGGTTCTGATCTCCTCATCAAAAGTGATGAAGCCTGTCGTGACTTAGTGGACGAAGCTAAAAATTATCTGCTCCTGCCACAGGAGCGACCTCTCATGCAGGGGCCAAGAACTAGACCAAGAAAGCCTGTTCAGAGAGGAGAAGTTCTTTTTGCTGGTAAGATTTTTGTTCTACTCAATGACAACCTAAATGTTGTTTTAGTTGTTTCTTATTCAGTCATATATTTTACTTGTGGTTTAGTTAATGTTCAACAACCAGCCAACATTTGTAATTTTGATGTAATCATACATTTCCCATGAATTAGGTTTGTAAGTTAAAAAAAAATGTGTAATATAATAAGGTTTTAACTTCTTTTAGACATCTAAATTGTTATAGCTGACATTAAATAAGTAGAAAATTTCAATAATTAAAGAGGCAGTCTTGTGGTTTCAAACCAGTCTACAAATTCTTTCTGTTACATATTTCATTCTAAAACATTTTTGACAATACCAGTTTATGGGAAATCCAGTACATTATTTTACCACACAGTTTTTTTCTCTGAAACTTTTGCCATGAGATACAATTATATAATTGAAAATAAAGCTTTCTTCATTCTCTTTACATTTTTACTGAAATTACTTTCTTTGTACCCTAATTTTAAAAGATACTACTGTCACTTTTTTGTCATGTGTGTCTGTGTTTCCTTACACTTACCTTGAAAACTAAGAGACCGACATACATGACAATATTACATAACATGGGAAATCAGTATGGGACCATCCTCCCCAAACTTGGTCTGTATTACTTTGAGGCATTTTTTTGCAGCTTTGGGTTAATAACTCTGTAAAGTGTGATTGGATTTGTACCAAATTTCATGGGCACATTAAGGTTGAGACTCCTCATTGCACTACAGAAAATGATCCAGATTGTTGATCATTCTGGATCTGAAAATATTATCCAATATAAACACATGCAATCTCTAAAAGGAGCAGCAGGGCGAGTGTATGCAATCTCTCTGATTGCTCTTGTATTTCATCAGTTACACCATTTGGCTGTTTGTATTGCAATGTTCTTTAAGCTGTATTAGTTGTATTAAATCATTTGGTGACACAATTTCCTTGTGGCATGGAATAAATAACTAATTCTATAAGCAGATTTCAGTTATCAGTTCACACTGTTTTGAGCAAGAAATCCTTAGTGCAATCTTCACTGAAGACACATTAGTTAGGAGGAGTACAAATTGGATGTGCCTTCAATCTGTATTGGAAAGATGATTTAGTCTCCTCAAACATAATGAAGCCTGAAAGTTTTTATGGCTTGTGCATCTGTTTATTTCTTCATTTTAGTTGGAGGTTGGTGCAGTGGAGATGCCATAGCTAGTGTAGAAAAGTATGACCCACAAACAAATGAATGGCGAATGGTTGCGTCAATGAGCAAACGCAGATGTGGTGTTGGTGTAGCAGTTTTAAATGACCTTCTTTATGCTGTTGGTGGACATGATGGACAATCCTATTTAAACAGTATAGAAAGGTATATAAAGTTCAAAAATACAATTTTGTATTATATAGTTACATCTTTTATGTCTGTATAGTTGGAACATAAACTAAGTGCTAATGCTGATGAAGGTCATTTGTCCAAAATTAAGTTTTATGTGTATCTTAAACATTTTTCTTTGCTTGTTTTTTCTTTTTAACCCATAAAATGTGCAGTAGTTGGATGATGATGTATTGAAATATTAAATTAATTAAAAAATCATTGTAGTTTGAGTAAAACATTTTTATTTGGCAAAAGTCTGTTATGATATTTCAGAATTTCAAAAAAGGCCTCACAGGTTTGAAAATGTATATACATATTTGATGTATTATCTCAGACTTGTGCTAAGTTATTGATTTCCTCTACTTATTAAAATATATTACTTCTTAATCAATGTTTGTTTTAATTAACTTTTCTTTTTTGATAAGAGCTTGCATAGTTCCAGAATTCTCAAGAAAAACTTGTTTATCAAACAACTTTGTAGTATTTTAATTTGTGGTACGCATGCTCACTGGTGAATTCTTTCACTTAAAAACAACTACCTTTAATAGAGTTGATATAGCTGATAAGCGTGATTTATCAACAACTGAAAATAATTAAGCACTGTTGTATAACACCAGACAAGAGAGAAAAAATCTCTGCTACTAGAAAAAATGTTACTGTTTCTGAGTAATTTAACGAAGTTGTTTCTAAAAATCATGTTGAAAATTACTGATCATCCCTAGTTTTTGAGTTAAGATAAATTTATTCAAAATATTCTTATATATATTGTGTAAAATACCTTTTACTTTAATAACTATTTATTAATTGAAATTGCATTTAAAATGTTACAAAACAATACAGAATAGCAATACCAGTTTAAATTGCAGTGAG